GCAATTGGACAGCGGGTTTTTATTTTGATTTATCGGCTGCCTTTTAAGTGATTCATCAGCAGATTAATCGCTTCGGTTTATAGAAACTCACATATCAACAAAGCCACAATGCAGATGCTTTTGAGAGATATTGAAGGAAACGAGAGAGAACTTACCATTTAATTTTAAAAAGTCGGATTGTTCAGAGGAAAAGGTCATCTTTAATCTTTTCTGTTTCACTCCCCTGTTGCAGTAATACCCCGGAACCAGAGCAGCTTTTTAAAACAGGCACACACCAATGTAAACTCTCTACCTCTCTGGTTAAAACTGGTCTTTGCTACTGTAGCTTTGGATCAGTGATTCTTTACATACGGACAGGGCCGGCCCCAGCTTATTTTGCACCCTAGGCGAGGATCCCTTCTGGCGCCCCCCCCCCCCCGGGGCGCCCACCAATTTTCAAAAATAAATGCATTTTAGGAAGAATGAAAAACACAAATAATCAAGAAACTCCCAGAGTATGGGGCTGGGTTCAGTTTGGCACCCCTAAGGGCCATACTGCTCTAGGTGACTGCCTAATTTGCCTAGTGAGTGAGCCGGCCCTGCATACAGACCACCGAGAGGGCAATCTGCAGGGCGTTCAGGAGATTTGGGGATGAGTGGGAGGGGGCTTTTGTGATTTTGCCCCAACCTGGACGGGCCAGGCTAGTCTGGTCGCCTTAGATCTTGGAAGCAAAGGTCAGCCCTGGTTAGTACTTGGATGAGAGGCCACCCAGGAAGTCCAGGCTTGCTGTGCAGAGACAGGCAATGGCAAACCACTCCTGTTTGTCTCTCCCCTTGAAAACCCTCCAGGTTAGTACCCTGACCTGGATAGCCCAGGCCACCCCCATCTCGTCAGATCTCGGAAGCTAAACAGGGTCGACTCTGGCAAGTATTTGGATAAACATAAGAACATAAGAGATGCCAATGTTGGATCAGGCCAAAGGCCCATCCAGCCCAACACTCTGTGTCACACAGTGGCCAGAAATACCAGGTGCCATCAGGAGGTCCACCAGTGGGGCCAGGACATTAGAAGCCCTCCCACTGTTGACCCCCCCCAAGCACCAAGAAGACAGAGCCTCACTTGCCCCAGAGCCCCTATCTATACCTTGTGGCTAATAGCCACTGATGGACCTCTGCTCCATATGCTTATGTAATTCCCTTTTGAAGCCGTCCATGCTTGTAGCTGCCGCCACTTCATGTGGCAGTGAATTCCAAGTGTGAATCACTCTTTGGGTGAAGAAGTACTTCCTAAAGTAAAGAGTAAAAGGATGGGAGACCTCCTTGGGAGGCGGGGGCAGGCTTTATTCAGCCACCTCTCTGACTGTCTTCTAGGCCCCCAGCAGGGGTCAGTCACCAGGAGGTCACCATGACTCACCCGTGCACACACACACACACACATAAAAAACCCCTCCAGGTTTGCCATAACTGCAACTTGAAGGCACTTTACACCACTGGGCAATAACGCCCTGAAGGCCAGGCGATCCCAGTCTCATCAGATCTCAGAAGCTAAGCAGGGTCGGCCCTGGTTAGTCCTTGGATGGGAGACCACAGAGGCAGTCCAGGGTCGCCATGCAGAAGCAGGCCGTGGCAAACCACCTCTGAATGTCCCTTGCTTGAAAACCCCATAAGGGGTCACCATAAGCCGGCTGTGACTCGAGGGCCCTTTCCGCCACACTTGGGTTGTTCCTTCTGCCTTATGTGCCGTGGCTTCTGACAGTAAAGGAGAGTTGTTTTATAGTGAGTAATTGCCTCATCCTGAGGTTCAGATCCCAGGTCTCCTGGGTCCTTAAAAAAGTGGTAAACAGCTAATAGAAATCCAACCTAACCTTAAGGAGTTGGCTGCCGGCCTTCAGTCATAAGAGTTTCCTTGGATGTATGCCTGCATGTTGTGTACGTATATAATAAATATGCTAGATAAACATTTAAATAATGCCTGTCCGGAATGCTGGGGTTTTTTTTAATGTCCTAATTTTTCACTTGGGGAATGTTTGATAACGTTGCATACTCGGTGGGCGGCAGTGGACCAAAAGTTACAATCCCCTGCTTTAGATGATGTAATTTACTAGTATTTGAAATGAAAAAACCTTCAAGGTCCGAAGTGGAGCATAATCCCTTTTATGTCCGTAAATCATCAACTAGCTGGCGGGGGTGGTGGTCCATGGATCATTTCTAGGGTTGCCAACCCCCAGGCGGCACCTGGAGATCCCTCACTATAACAATTGATCTCCAGATGAGTAAGATCAGCTCCCCTGGAGAAGATGGCTGAGAGTGGACTGTATGGCATTATACCCGGCTGAAGTCCCTCCCTCGCTCTGTGACTACTTTGGGTAGTGAAGGGCAGGGTACAAATCATAAGAACATAAGAGATGCCAATGTTGGATCAGGCCAAAGGCCCATCCAGTCCAACACTCTGTATCTCACAGTGGCCAGAAATACCAGTGCCATCAGGAGGTCCAGCAGTGGGGCCAGGACATTAGAAGCCCTCCCACTGTTGACCCCCCCCAGCACCAAGAAGACAGAGCATCACTTGCCCCAGAGCCCCTATCTATACCTTGTGGCTAATAGCCACTGATGGACCTCTGCTCCATATGCTTATGTAATTCCCTTTTGAAGCCGTCCATGCTTGTAGCCGCCACCACTTCCTGTGGCAGTGAATTCCAAGTGTTAATCACTCTTTGGGTGAAGAAGTACTTCCTTTTATCCGTTCTAACCCGGCCGCTCATCAATTTCATGGAGTGCCCAGGAGTTCTTGTATTGTGAGAAGGGGAGAAAAGTACCTCTTTCTCTACCTGCTCTTTCCCATGCATAATCTTGTAAACCTCAATCATATCACCCCAATCCAATCTCCTCCTCCTCCTCCTCCTCCATAGATGTAATTCCATAAAGTCCACCCTGCAAAGCAGCTGTTTTCTCCAGCAAGAATAATCTCTGTAGTCTAGAGATCAGCTGTCGTTCCAACAGATCTCCGGGCTCACCTAGACTTTGGCAACCCTGGGACTTAATACGCTGCAAGCCCCTTAGGAAATCTTCATGACGGTGATTTTGGGAGCATGGGGGGGGGATTCCAATTTCCACCCCTCCCCCTCCCCTTATTCCTCATGGGCCTCCGCCTTTTCATTTCTGAAATGACGTCAATGGAGCATACCTGGGAAATTGTCCTCTTCCTTTAATAAAGGCTTAATGAGGTTTTGTTTACCTCCAGGCCATGATGAGCTTCAGTGGCCTGTTTCCATGCATCTCCGTGCCTCCATTAAAGGGACAGGACATTTTTTCCCTCAGGGCACTTGTGAACCCTAACCGTGGAGATGGACTTGCAGCAAAGGTTATCCCCTCTGAATGTACTCCCCCCCTCTCTCTCTCACACACACATACACAGAGGGTTGCCAATCTTCTGGTAGGGCGTGGAGACCTGGAATTACAACTGATCTCCAGGCAACGGAATTCTCTTCCCCCCGGAGAAAACGTCTGCCTGCCTGCTTTTGAGGGTGGGCGCTATGGCATTAAATCCCTGCCAAGGTCTCTCCCCTCCCCCAAACCCGTGCTCCTCAGGCTCCACCCCCCTCAAATCTCCGGGAAGTTCCCAACCCAGACCTGGCAACTCTGTGCGCACCTGGCATGGAGCTAAGTGGGTTGAATAGGGGTGCCAGGTCTCCCCAGCCACTGGCATAGGGTAGGGTTGCCAACTCCAGGTTGGGAAATTCTTGGAGATTTGGGGGTGGAGCCTGGGAAGGGCTAGGACGATAGTGGGATCCAGGGGTCATTTCCTGCGGGAGCGCACAAGAGCGGAGCTCCGGCAGTAAGGAGCCCAGGGGGTGGGCACATGCAAAAAGTCCCACCCCCAGCTCTCAGCAGCCCTCAGTCGGGCCATGAGGAACAAGAAGCAGCCAGGTACGTTGCAGAGCCCCCCCCCCCCGCCCACCTTCAAGTACAAGCTCTCCCTCCTCTGTGAGGGCAGATCTGCGCATTCCCCCTCCCCCATAGCTAGCAATCCAAAACAGTCCAGTGGAGCCTGAGTAATGGGTGTTGCCTTCTGACACACTTCTAGTGATGTCAGGGGGTGTGGCATATGCAAATAAGTTATGCTAATGAGTTGTGCTAACGAGCTCCTGCACCTCTTTTTTTATGAAGACCCCTGGTGGGGTCCAATGCCGTAGCGTCCACCCTCCAAAGCATCCATGTTCTCCAGGGGGACTGATCTCTGTAGTCTGGGGATGAGTTGCCATTCTGGGAGATTCCCAGCCCTCAACCTGGAGGCTGGTATTCCTAGGGCACATGGACCCCATAGTTCAACCACAAAAAAACCTAAACCAACCAAGCAAAAACCTCCAAAGGAAGTTTCGAAAACTAGTTAAGGGCCAAAATTTAAAAACATCAACAGGTGTAGCCAAAAGTACACGTGTTTATTTCAAAAACATATAAAAACTGTTTAGGGGCCCAACTAAAGCCTCGTAAAATAATCAAAGTGACCAATGCACACACAAAAAAACTTGATAGGTTTTGGCCCACAAGAGCCTTCTTCAGAGGTCAAGAAATACAGAATACAACCTGCTTGGCTTAATACTTTTGGTCAATGAAAGTAATAAATAAATAAAAGGAAAAAGGAGAATACAACCTGCATCAAAGCCCCTGTTACACTTGTAAGGCAGCAGACAATTGATATAGGACCAAAAATGGAAAGATCCGATCTGGAATTGAATGACAAACAAACAAACAAAATTGTGGGGCCACAAATGTGTCAAAAGCAATTACATATATTGGAGATAGTAATATTGCCAATATGTACCTTCCAGTTTAGGTCCTAAGAGTCCAAGTAAAACCGCCTTATCAAGGCCAATGTAACATCAATATGTAATTTTGGGAGAGTCCCTGGCCTCACCTGGAGGCTGGAACTCCTAGGGCACATGGGCACATGGACCCCATAGCTCAACGCCTGGTAGTTCAAGGGCAGCTCTCTGACGGTGCCGATGCTCTTCTCCCTGCAGTGATCCGGTGGATGGACGTGTATAACCGCAGCTTTTGCCAGCCCAAGGAGACACTGGTGCCCGTGAGTGCCGAGCACCCCGGGGAGGTGGAGCACATCCTGGTGCCCTCCTGCGTGCCCTTGCGCCGTTGCGTCGGCTGCTGCTCGGATGAGGAGTTGCAGTGCGTGCCTGTCCAGATGCACGTGGTGATCATGGAGGTGAGATCCTGCTGCGCCATTGTTAATCCCAGAAAGCCTGAAAGGGGACATGAAGGTGCACAACAGCAAGGTTTTAAGTGCCCTGTGCATTCTTTCTCCCTTCTGAATACTTGAAGCTGAGCTATCCACATCAGCATTGTCTACACAGACTGGCCGTGGCTCTCCGGGGTCTTAGGAAGAGGACTTTCACATCACCTCCTACCTGATCCTGGAGATGCCCAGGACTGAAGCTGGGACCTTCTGCATGCAGGGCAGACTGAACATGCACAAAGCTGCCTTCTACTGAGTCAGGACATTGGTCTGTCCAGCTCAGTGTTGTCTACTCTGACTGGCAGCTGCTCTCCAGGCCCTTTGGCAGACATCTTTCACACCACCTACTGCCTTATCCTTTTAAACTGGAGACGCCAGGGATTGAACCTGGGACCTTCTGCTTGCAAAGCGTTGGATTCTCTGGTTTCGTACAGCCAGGAATCTCTGTCAGTGTCGCAGAGTGCATTAAGCTTTACCACGCAGCGAAGCTTTGTTACTGAGTGTGCTAGCAGACTTACACAGTCACACAGAGCCAGTGGTCAGATTTAAAACTAGTATGAGTGCTTTGTTATATGGAACTCCATTCTAGACATCCTACTCCCTAGGATGGGTATGGATGCAGGGACGAGTGCCCCTGAATCCATTGTTCAAAGACAGTGAGCAACATGCTCCTCCTTCTGTGTGTGTATGGGCGAGAGGAAGTGTAAGGTCAGAAGAGAGGGAATTGCTCCCTAAGAATGTATCAGTCTGCACATCAACAGGACAGAGGCAGGAGAGGAAGGAAGGAAGGAAGGAAGGAAGGAAGGAAGGAAGGAAGGAAGGAAGGAAGGAAGGAAGGAAGGAAGGAAGGAAGGAAGGTCCACAATCTGCCTCTTGTAACCCCTTCTGGAGGCTGAGGCAAAAGGACAGCGCCCCGTCCTTCTCTTCCAACACAAAGCAGATATTCTCCAGGGTCTCAGGAAGAGGTCTTTCCTATCACTGATTATGCCAAGAACTGGATATGGGACCTTCTGCATGCAAAGCAGGTGCTCTACCATAGAGGCATGGCCCCATCCCTGTCTTTTTAAATACTGCCCTTTCAGACACTCGTTCAGCTAGTGTTGAGGGATTCCGGTGGGCAGGTGCTTTTCCTAGGACCTCTCAGTTCCCCTGAGTTCTTTCATGGGCTGGGTGGAGACTGGCAAGGGACTGGACCTAGTATAGCGAGAGACAGTGGTTCTCAATTTATTCCATTATACACGCTTAAGACAGAAAACACTTTATAGCGTTTCAATATTCAACGTAGAATATTTAAACACAAACCCAATACTTAGTGCACTTGTATAAAACACCGAACATTCTGGACTAGCCACTAAGGAGCTTATTGATAGCCAGTCGCCTACCATTAGTAAACCAGAGGTATATATCTTTCTTGGCCAGGGCTATTTTTGGGCAGGAACGCACAGGAACGGAGTTCCGGCTGGCTCCTGAGTTGGCCACGCCCAGCAGGAGCTCATTAGCATAACAGGCCACACCCAACAGCAGAAACCCACTAGGACTGGCTACATTAGGGGTGTGTGGCCTAACATGCAAAGGAGTTCCTGCTACAAAAAAAGCCAACAAACAAGGTAAACAGAATAAGAAGCAAAAGGTGGGTGTGGCTGGATGACCACACTTCTGGTAACATGGGGGTGTGGTCTAATATGCTAATTAGCTGTGGTGTCAGGGTATGGCATAATATGCTAATGAGTTTCAGTTGTTGGGTGTGGCCTATTATGCTAATAAGTTCCTGCTGGGCTTTTTCTACAAAAAAAGCCCTGCTTGGACCCATATGCTGATGTACCTGTCCCGTAGGGCTATCATGGATGTGACGCAGGCCAAACTAGAACCAACTAGAAGTGACCTGATGCACCGACCCAAATCCCGACCCCTTCTCTCTATC